CTGCTGTGTTCATCCAGCTCTACACCTTGTTATCTCAGACAATGTGGGACTTAATTTTCAACTTCATGTCACCAGGCATGTCTGTCTTTTTTGTTTTACCCTATTTCATAATTTTTCTTCACTATTTTAGTATTTGCCATTCTTCATACAAATCTCTAATTGTTTTAAATTAACATAAATAATATTTATTTTTGAATCAGCTGTTCGGTGTTTACCTAAAACCTCTGACAGCCCAACTGAGGATAAGAAATCCCAGCTGAGAGACTGTGTGGGGTGAATGCACTTGCGACATTCCGGGAAATAAAACCACCTTCATGAAACATAGCATAAGAAATAGGTGCGGGAAGAGGCCTTTCAGCTGCTTACCCCTGTGCACCATTCAGTGATGTTATGTCTGATCTGATCTTGGTCTTAACTGCACTTTACAAACTGTTCCTTATAACCCTTGATTTCCATAGTTCACATATCTGTCTCAGCCTTGAATGTATTAAATGACTCCACCTCTAAAGATTTCTGGGGTGAAGAATTCCAACACACTTGATCCTCTAAGGGAAGGAATTCTTCCTTATCTCCATCTTAAGTAGGTAACTTCTTACTCTGATATTTTATTCTCTTGGTATCTACCTTCTCAAGCCCTACCAGAATCATTTTATTTTCACTAACATCACCTGTCAATTCTTCTAACTCCAATTCGTACAGACCCAGATATAACGCAAGTGTCATAAACTACCTTTCTTATTTGATGTAAGTATCACAGTGTTTTTTGTCTGGATTTTACCATATGAAATGAATCGGGTAAATGACACCCAGTAAGCAAACAGTGGGACCATTTTTGGCAAACTGGTATCATTGTGTAGTTTTTCTTTATGACTAGATAATAGATATGAACAGTGGGCAAAAATACAGTGACAAAATGGTATTAAAGATAATATGCAATTGTCATCTAGTCTGCCCCAACATCCCTGGGCACGTGCAGTATAGAACTTTGTCTGTTCAACTTCAGCAGTGTACTTAAACACCCAATATCAGAAGAAAATCTGCAATAGCAGATTTCTGAAACTTTGCCATCATTAGTGAAATCACCTCCTAGTGCTGAATTATAAACAAATTAGAAACCAATTTGAGTAATCAAGTCCACTTAATATCAGAAGTTTGTTCTGGCCTGCTTGATTGAATGGGACAAGTCTAATCAGCTTTGACTAAATTCAGCTTCAGATGGTAAAGGATAAAGCCAAATGAATATGTTCTTTCACTTGTGAAAAAATAATAATTTATTTATAAATTTTGGTGCACTTATTGGTTCACTTTGAATGTTGCTAAGATGCTTAATGGGATGTTTTTTCCCCATTTACCAGGTTTGAAGATACTTCGCTGTTGTAACCACTGTGACATCATTGGAACTATCAAAGAAGAAAAGAAATTTAAAGGCGCACATTGGCACTGCTACCGCTGTCGAAATGGTTTCAATAGACGTGATGAAGCTGTCAAGCATTACAAAACTCATTTCCGCAACCCTCATACCACTTTCCAAATTCAAATTGCACAAGTGAGTTCAAAATGATCAAGGTGCTCAAAGATCCAGAGACTGTGTTGGTATCAAAGGCATTCTTAAGGACAGGAGGCCTGGAAGTTGAGTATAAACATCTCACCTCCCTTACCGTTGCCTCCCCACCACTCTACCAGGACCTACCTGCAGTTACTGCAGAAATCCCAATGCTTTGACATTCTCATGGCCGACAACAAATGAATTGCCCTCAAGGCACCATTAACCGTCAACAGATTGTCACATGTAATCAAATGAGGCTGCGACCTCAAAACAGCAGCTACCTGTCTGCAGTTGGGCAGAAAAAGTAGCTGACTTCATTCACCAGTTCCATTGACCATCTGAATGTTCCACTCTACTCCGTCATATTTATGTAGAACTTGCTTGTCCTTTTATTTTATTGGTAAGACTTAGACCTGCTGATGAGGCGACAATTTTCAGCTATTCCCAGGATTTTGGTTGAACCTGTCCATTGTGATGGGTAATCCTTTTATTTAATACTTTGGAAACTCATGTGATGAAACTTTCAGAAAGAACTACATCAATTCTTATGCAGTGGTTTCACAGTAGTTCAATTTTAACATTTTGCCTTAGTAATGACATTTTTTGAGAAATGTTATACATTTTAGATCATTTATTTCTAAATGTTATGGGAGAAATTATATTTTCAATTTGCACTATACATTGCATTGAGAAACCTACAACAAAATTTTTTTTTGTCTAAATTTGTTCATTCATACATTTAATTTCACCTTTCCGATTGAGCTTAATTGCTTAGTTTTGGTTATTAACGATGATTACAGCACTTTTTTTTGTAATTTGCACACTCAGAGGAATATGCCTCTGAATGTTTGTAGATTGATGGAAGGAGAAGTGGCGAGTAAGATGCTAGAAAGGAACAAAAGCTTAGTTGTACAGAAATCGTTTTTGGGAAACTTTGTAGGTGGGAGGGAAGTATCAAGGTAAAGAGGCTGATGGCAGAATCTCGAGAGGATGGGGACAAGGTCACTGGAGGATTAATACTTCTAAGAAATTGGTTGATCGTAGCCATACTATTGTGTGTTTTGCTGAAATTGAGATTTTGAATTGTTTCAAATTGCTACTGCTGCAGTAATACAGTCAATGCAGTTGTTGACAAATAACTAAGTAATGGATGTTATAGAAGACTGTTAGTTTACTTTCTAACAATAGTGCTATTACAGCTGTACTGTTTGGGTCAGATTGACTTTTTAAATTCATATTTGAGTTTGTTCCACATCAGTGGCAATTGTCGTAAACTGTGTAGGACAGATATGGACTGTGCTTGTCCGGGTGCATAATAGCCTTTTAAAGATGGCAGGATGCTGAGCTGTTCCAGAATATCCAGGCAGTGGCACATTTTTCTGGCTATGATGCATAGTAGAGCTGATCTAACATCAGATAACAGGTGCACAGGGGCCTGTGTAAATGAGTCAAGTAGATACTTTCCATGAAACTTAATGAAATTGACACTTTGGGTTGAATCTTACTTATTTTGGCAATGTTTGTAGTTCTCTTAAAAAGCTACCCATAAAAATTAAATTCTGTCTGCTATGAATACATTGCAGTACAACTGTAATTTATTTACCTTAAGTTATATTTAAATCTTCTGCAAATCAGTGATGTGGTGTGAAGGTCATTAATTGGTAATGATATTACACAGTATTTAGTCAGAAGGGTTGTTAGGGAGAGGTAATCGATAATTTAGTGTAGTATGGCACATTTTTTTTATTGATGTTTATTTTGCTGTTTTCTGTCTAATGTTAGTTTTTAAGAAAATATGAGTTACAAGTGGACCTTTTGAAATAATTGGATTTTCACTTTTTCATATTTGTTCTTTCACCCAGCAGCCCCATTGATGGAGCTTGCTCAGTGACAGCGAGCAAATTTGATGAATGTCAGCCGAATCTCAGTTTCAGACCCATAATTGTACTGTCTACAGCCACGTCCAAAGACTTGTGTTCCTTTGATGTTTAAATTCAATTGTATCAATTGTTGATTGTGAAGAAGAGGAATGAAACTTTGCCCTTCTTGGTTTTCCATCACCAGGATTCATTTCTGCCTTTCCTGCCTTATTGGAAAAAGTGCGATATTTGAGCACTTCCAGACTGCTTAAAATCTTCACCTGAACATGAAAGGGAAAAATGCAAGTACCATAAGAGGCAAAAAAAAATTAGCCTAATGTCTGTTAGTTTCAAAGGGACACATCGAATATTATTTCTGTTCATTATTACCTGCTGACTTCTGACCAGGATATGTTCAAATTTTAGACACCGGGAAATTGATACTCATTAGTAATAGTGCTGTACAAAAATCTGTTGAATTTTCATTCTTGGGCCAGGAGTGCCATTGTCAAGGCCAGTATTTACTGCATATCCCTAATTGTCTTTGAGATAGTAATGAACCCAGCCTCCTAAACTGCTGGAGTCCATGTACCATCGGTACCTACAGTGCTGTTAAACAGAGAGTTCAAGGATATTGACTCAGAAACAGTGAAGGAACAATGGTACACCAATTCTAACTTGGCAATATAAGGATGGGAATGGAGAGGAGCTTTCAATTGGTGGTGTTCCCATGTAACAGTGCAACCTGTATGTGCTACATACTGTGGAACATACAAAATGGGGGAGTGAATGTTTAAGTTAGTAGATGGAGAATTGATTAAAATGGGCTAATTTGTCTTAGATATGTTGAGTTATTGAGTTTTGTTGAATTGTTGGTGCTGAGTTCATCCAGACCATTAAAGAGTATCCTACAATACAGTCAGGAGGGTCTTCAACTGTACCCGCGCAAGTTCTATGCCTTTTAATCCAATGTCAGTTCTTGCTATTGATTTTTAGTTTTATTTCCTACATAACAACCCTGCATCCTCTGCCCATCTGCCTATCCTTTCAATAGGATGTGCACTTCTTGGATATTTAGTTCCCAGCCCTGATCCCTTTGCAGCCATGTCTCTGTGGTGCCCACAACATCATACCCACTAATTTCAATCTGCGCTACAAGGTTCTTTTACAATCATTCCTCCATATCTGCAAGGGTTCCTTTCTCTTTCCAGAGATAACGAGAGTTCAGAGACAGTATGTTCTCAGTAGTGTGAAGGGCAAGGCTGGTAGATGTATGGAATGCTGGATGACTAGAGAAATTGAAGCTCTGGTCAAGAGAAAAAAAAGAGGCGTATATCAGGTATAGACAGCTGGGTTCAAGTGAATTCCTCAGAGTATAAGGGCAATAGGAGTGTATGTGAGGGAAATCAGGAGGGCCAAGAGGGTGACATTAGATATCTTTAGTAAATAGAGTTAAAGAGAATCCAAAGAGATTCTGTAAGTACATTAAGGGCAAAAGAGTAACTAGGGAGAGAATAGGGCCCCTTAAAGATCAACCTGGCCATCTATGTGTCGAACTACAGGAGATGGGTGAGAGACTAAATGAATATTTCACATCAGTATTTACTGAAGAAGGACATGGAAGCTAGGGTACTTGGGGAAATAAATAGTGATGTCTTGAAAAGAGTTCATATTACAAAAGAGGTGATGACGGATGTCTTAAAATGCATAAAGGTGGATAAATCCCCTGGACCTGATCAGATGTTTCCTAGAACTTTGAGGGAAGCTAGGGAAGAGATTGCAGGCCCCTTGCTGAGATATATACATCTTCGATAGCCACGGGTGAGGTGCTGGAAGACTGGAGGTTGGCTAATGTGCTATTATTTTAAGAAAGGTGGTAAGGAAAGGCCAGGGAACTATAGACCAGTGAGCCTTACATCAGTGGTGGGTAAGTTGTTGGGAGGAGATTCTGAGGGACAGGATTTACATGCATTTGGAAAGACAAAGACTGATTAGGAATAGTCAACATGACTTTATGCGTGGGAAATCGTGTCTCATTAACTTGATTGAGTGAGTTTTTTAAAGAGGTGACAAAGAAGATTGAACAAGGCAGAACAGCAGATGTCTATATGGACTTCAGCAAAGCGTTTGACAAGGGTCCACATGGTAGACTTATTATTAATGTTAGATCACATTGGATTCAAGGGGAGCTAGCAGACTGGTTACAAAATTGGCTTGAAGGTAGGAGACAGAGATTGGGGTAGAGGGTTGCTTTTCAGACTGGAGGCCTGTGAACAGTGGTATGCCATGAGAATCAGTGCTGGGTCCACTGCTTTTTGTCATTTATGTAAATGATTTGGATGTGAATATAGGAGGTATGGTTAGTAAGTTTGCAGGCGACACCAAAATAGGCAGTGTAGTGGACAGTGATGGGACTTTGATCAGATGGTCCCATGGGCCGAGGTGGAGTTTAATTTAGATAAATGTAAAACATTGCGTTTTGGTAAGGCAAACCAGGGCAGGACTTATACTGTTCATGTTTGGATCCTGGAACATGCTGCCGAACGAAGAGACCGAGGGAATTGCAGGTAGACAGGGTGGTGAAGAAGGCATTTGGCATGGTCACCTTCATTGGTCATAACATTGAGTATAGGAGTTGGGATGTCATGTGGTGGCTGTACAGGATTTTGGTGAGATAGTAGGAACTGCAGATGCTGGTGAATCCGAGACAACAAGGTGCAGGGCTGGATGAACACAGCAGGCCAAGCAGCATCATAGGAGCAGAGAGGCTGACGTTTCGGGCCTAGCCCCTTCATCAGAAAAGGGGGAGGGGAAGGGGGCTCTGAAATAAATAGGGAGAGAGTGGGAGGCGGATAGAAGATGGATAGAGGAGAGGATAGGTGGAGAGGAAACAAACAGGTCGAAGAGGCGGGGATGGGGCCAGTAAAGGTGAGTGTAGGTGGGGAGTTAGGGAGGGGATAGGTCAGTCCAGGGAGGACGGACGGGTCAAGGGGGCGGGATGAGGTTAGTCGGTAGGAGATGGAGGTGCGGCTTGAGGTGGGAGGAGGGGATAGGTGGGAGGAAGAACAGGTTAGGGAGGCAGGGACGAGCTGGACTGGTTTTGGGATGCGGTAGGGGGAGGGGAGATTTTGAAACTTGTGAAATCCACATTGATACCATTGGGCTGCAGGGTTCCCAAGCAGAATATGAGTTGCTGTTTCTGCAACCTTCGGGTGGCATCGTTGTGGGACTGCAAGAGGCCCAGGATGGACACGTCGTCTGAGGAATGGGAGGGGGAGTTGAAATGGTTCGCGACTGGGAGGTGCAGTGGCTAAGCGGATGAGGGTGTCAGTGGAGGGGGACTGGTCGGGCCTGCGGGACAGGAAGAAGCGGAGGGCCTTAAGGCCATCTGCAGGGGGAGGCTAAGCGATGAGGGTGTCAGTGGAGGGGCCACTTTTAGAATACTGTATACCATTTTGGTCACTATTCTAAAGGAAAGATGTTGTTAAACTTGAAAGGGTTCAGAAATGATTTATAAGGATGTTGCTGGGACTGGAGTATTTCAGATTGGGGAGAGGCTGAATAGGCATGGGCTTTTTTCCCTGGAGTGTCGGAGGCAGTGGATTGATCATTATAGAGGTTTATAAAATCATGACGGGCATGGATCGGGTGAATAGCTGAGGTCTTCTTCCTACAGTGTGGGAGTCCAAAACTAGGTTTGAAGTAAGAGAAGAAAGATATTAAAAGGACCTGAAGGGTAGCTTTTTCACACAGGGTGGTACATGTATGAAGCAAGCTGCCAGAGGAAGTGGTGGAGGCAGGTATAATTGCAACATTTAAAGGCAACTGGATAGTTATATGAATAAAAAGGGTTTAGAGGCATATGGGCCAAATGCTGGCAAATAGAATTAGGTCAGAATAAGTTGGACTGAAGTGTCTGTTTCCATGGCGTGTAACTCTAGGACTCGGTAACCTCTGCGAATGATGAAATTCGCAAGTGAGGAGCTTGTTGAAAATAGGTTTAAAAATCATGGATATGCGATTTTTGCCCAAGGATGTTGATTTTTGTTGTTACTTATTTTTCAGTACGAACGTATTTGTGGTTTTGAAGATACAGAAGATTTACCGTACCTTGTTTTATATACTGCACTCGTTTCAGTACAGTCTGTCCTGCAGTTAACCACTGCCCTCCTCATAGTTATCCCCTTATTTCCTGTGCCTGAAGTTAGATTCCTGACCCGATCCATTCTCTCTGTCCTATTCCTTGTTTTGGAAACTTTAATAACCTTTCCTGAGCAACCCCCTTCCTCCTTCCCCTCCTCTACCATTAACTAGTTTAAAATACTTGTGACTCAATTTACCTTGATTTATGCCATCAATCCATCTACCTTATTCTGAATGTTTCATGCAATAAGATACAAGGCCTTTAAGTTCGAATGCTTGTAAAGTCAGGTTTAACCATTAATCTTGTGTGTTCTGGCCTCTATCGGCACCATACTGTGAAATACCTTGATTTTTTTAAAAAAAATTTGTTTGTATTTTCAAATTCTGCAATGGCTTTGTTCCTCCCCTGCACACACCCCCCTCAAAAGAATACATGCACACACACATGTATCCATCTAAACCTTTTTTAAAGATGCTTCTTAAAATCTTTGATCACCTGCTTTAATATCTTGTTACCTAGTGCAATGTCAAATTCTGTTTGATAACATTTCTGTGATGCCTTGTGGCCTTTATTATAGGTGCAATATCAATGTAAGTTGTTATTATAATACTGACAAACTCTACCATTGAGTGGTTCAATGTGGAGTGTCTTGGAGATGACAGAGAGAAGGTGGACATGAAACTGGGGAGGAAAGAAAGGGGAAAAGCAAAAAATGCACTTCTTGAAAAGTCATTGATCTTAACACAAAACATCGCAGCCTGGACTTTTGGTTAATGGTGAAGGAGCAGTGCTTAACACCTACTACATGAACAGATTACCTATAGTAGGCATTAGCGTAGCAATTTGGGTTTATTAAGAGTGCAGTTTTACAAGGGATCTAATTCCTCCCGTAGAATTTTATGCTAATGAATAACTTATTTGCAATTGAAAATCTACTAATTAGAGCAGGTAGATTCAGCTACCCACTCCTATATGTACTCAATTGTAGTATCTGATATTCAGTGCAGAACCACTCTAAAGGAAAGATGTGATACTATTGTTTAGCATGTTCTTCTATACCAAATTGAGTTTTCAAATGATTCAGATTGAGAGTTGCAGAATGATTCAATGAGTCAGCATATTGTCCTTTTACACCTGGAATGCAGTCCAAGTTGGATGGATCAGATGTCAAGAGTTTATGTAGTCTTAATCCATTCCAATGGTTTAATGAAGATAATTAGTACTGTGTGGGAAAATTTCTCACAGGTTGAGAAATTATTATCACAGAAAGACATAGTAGGGGACGATATGATGTGCATTTAGACTATTGTCAACTTTTTTTGAAATATACTTAAATTCATCACATTTTGAAGAATAAGTAAATTTAGAGTGAGTCAACATACTGGGTTAGAAAATGGAATTGTGAATTGGGGTCTCGGAGACATTTAGCAGAATCAATAGTGTACTCACCAATATAATGCAATATACCATGCACATGTACAAAGAATAGAATCGTGTAGACCAACGTAATGTCATCCAGCTGTACAGAACGAACTAGCAGGTCCAACTTTGCCCCAGCTAAAACTTGAATAATTCTGGTGTAGTCTAAGCAATTTCTAAGTATTTATGAATGATAATTATACAATTTATTTTAAAACCCTATTTTATTCACCTTGTAAACCAATTTCTAATCAAAGATTGATTTAAAATAGATTTACCAATATCTTTGTGATAATATGTTGTGCGCAATCTCATTTTTTTAGGAGGTAAATAGTCGACAGTATTACGAGCAAAGTGCAGAAGCTCATCATAAAGCTTACGGAGGCAACCGCATTACTTCTGGTGGGACAATAGATATCACACCAATTAGTCCTGTTGTGACAGAAGTAGCCATTAACACAACAACCTCAACCCTTACCACAGAGAAAAATGATACTATTATAGGACAGGCTGCAAAGGTATGTCAACAAAGCACAATGGAAATTAGTTTTTTTTTTGTATCCCTCATATCATCCAGCTGTAATCTTTCAGTACCATGGTCTTCCCATTCACATGGAAAGTTGATCCTTGTGTGCTGCAGCAAAATTTATGACAAATTGAGAGGGCAAAGTGTCCTGAATGAACTGTAGAAATTAGTCAAATTATTGTAGATGAGGATTATAAGAATTTTGATCAAAAGATTATGCACATACAAGTAATTTTGCTTGAGTTTGCACACAAATCTAGATGTTTTCATGTCATTATTTGATTTCATAATTGTCACACAGTTTTGAAGCACAGAAAATATAGATGAGCTGTTCAGATATCCATTTAGTCAAACCTATTGAAGGTAAAAATGAACGCAGAAACAAATTTCTGGAATCTAGTTAAAATTAATTTTGTTTTACAGTAAATTGCAGAAATAAATTTGCGGGTAAATGATGTATCTACATTCCAATATGCATGCTACGACTGAAAATAAGCTTAGGAATTCATAATCTGGAAAACATATCTGAGACTTACAGCTGTTTATTTACAGCGCCCCCCCCGCCCCCAAGATAAATAACTGATTTCAAAAATGGCACACAAATCAACAAACTTATTATGTACTATTTTTTAAATGGCATTTGCCAAGTTTTCATTCTGTATTGTTTTGTTTATTGCTTTTCTGCTGGGAGTTTCGTTCCTCTAACAAGCCAATTAAAGAATAATTATGCTGACAAAAGTTTTTAATTTTCCGATGTTAATTTTTCATATTTATGTCTTTACATTTTCAGTAGTGTCCAGGCTTTATCCTTTTAAAAAGGTGGTGTCCACATATATATCGTTTGTGTATATATATGCGTATATATGGTTTAAAATTAAAAACAAAGATAGTACTAAAAATAGAACAGTCATTAATGATATTTCGTCTTTAGAATCATTCAAATTACAAGACTGTGTGGTGGTTGGTTTATATTGGACATTCTCATGTCACATTTTATAATTAAATGTTTCAGTTTAGCAGATATCAGATTGACATGCTTGAAATATAAGATCTCCTGATTGGAGTTCTAATACACTTATGATGTACGCTACCTGAAACCTAAAAGTTTATGAATTGCCAAATATTGGATTCACAAAATAGGTACTCTCAAAAACAGTTCAACATCTCAATGTTAGTAATAATAATTTTTACCATTATCTTTTTAAAAGGATGGCAATTTGACCAGTGGCATCACTGCTGGCGCAGAAGAAACTATGGGCTCTACATCAGATGCACATCAAACTCTGGTTCTTATGGACCCAGATGGGGAAAATGGAGAGCTTGTGTACAGTGATACTGCAAACCTAGTTGCAGAACAGGTGAAATTCTAATTCATTTAATTTTTTTGTTATTATTTTATATTATGCTTACTAAATGGACTAATTTTTCAGTTGGATTGTTGAAGGTGGTGTTCACATTTATTTTGCTTCTTCATGTTTGATTGAATAGGAGAACCATGTAAACCAGGAAGGAGCCAGATTTGGTCTTCAGTTTGATGATGGTCTCAGAGGACCTAGCAACATCAAGCTGCTTTGTTTACTGGGGAGTTTCTTGGAATGAGACCTGGATCTACCTGTTACTGCTTCAAGTTTCCTGGGAGCTTACAGTGCTATAAGATGCCCACTGCAATACTAAGACCCCACAGATCATGTCATCACACAATCATCCCATTCTGGCTTGGTGACTTCACCACTCTGCCTTCACACTGCTGCAGGGAAAGGTGCACTGTGAACTACTTGGGGCCAGTGGACTGGGGTTAGGGAATGGGAATAGAGATGCATTCCTATGTATGCGGTATTGTATGTGAGCCAGAAAAACTAATTTATAAAATGCTGGCAACAAAGGGTCAAGATTGACAAATAAATGTGAGGTTTATTACAGATAGTTTTGTTTCTTTCCCTTGAGAGTCATTGAAACTGTGCGGTAAGTCATGTTCCCAGTTTGCTACCCTTCAGAATTGCCCTACTGCTGATTTAGGCAACTAAGTTGCAAAATGTTCCATAATGATGCTTAAATTTTTTTAAAATTAAAGAATGACGAATCTTAATTACTACTTATCAGAAGCAGTAACTGGGCTCACTTTGAAATTATGGACATTGCTGTAAGTTCCAGGTGAGAAGTGATTAAGTAAAATTGCCGTGTTTCTGCTGCCTGTACCTGTAAGAAGTGTGTTTGGATCCTTCTATATTTAGAGTAAAGCCTCTGAGCACTTTTCTGGAACAGTTCCACCAATAAGAAAGACAATCAGTCACCTTCTGATGGAAGGCTTTGACATTCACTTACTGCCTGATTTAAACCAGCAATGAGTCAGCATAGATATTATTTAAGGCAGATAGCATTTCGTTGTGCTATAAGACCAGACCTGGGTTAAATGGAAAATGAGTGCAGCATGTCTAGACTGCTGCTGTGTTCCCCTGTAGGTTATTGCTATTTTAATGTGTAGCCTGAAATGATGCATTACTATTATGTTTTGCTTGAATGCATTAGTCCTGCAGAACAGTCTGAATGTCCTCTGCTTTTCAAGCAACCCTATCACCATTGGTATTAAGAAAAATACTTTTACTTTTACTCATGTGACCACGAAAAATGAAATAGATTACTTTTCAACGGAAAACTTGACAGCTGTACAAGTTTGTATTATTTTTAAGTTTTCTCTTACTGCATCCCCCCACTTTTATCAACATTTGTTTTTGGTCATCCTTTAAGAGGTACTAAATATGAAGAAGATGGGGATGTATGACCTGCCATTAATTTCTCCTCTGGGGAGTGAACAGCATTCTTTTCAAGATTGCGTGGCACTCTGGGGTCAGCCATGATGATGTTAGGGGCTCAGTGCTTGATTGAGGAATCTGGTGTTGGGAAATGGGTGTCCGTTGAGAGCCACCCATCTGCCTTTGCTACCAAACCCTTTCCCACCTCTCCCCTGTGATTTACCTCCCCTTACACCATCTGTTGCTCTATGATGGTAGAATCATAGAGTCACACAACATGGAAACAGACCATTCAGTCCAACCAGTCCATGCTGACCATGTTCCCAAACTAAACTATTCCCATCTGCCTGCATTTGGTCCATATCACCTCAAACCGTTGCTATTCATGTACTTATCCAAATTTCTCTTAAATGTTGTAACTGTACCTGCATCCACCATTTCCTCTGGCAGTTCATTCCACATGCCACACTCTGTTTAAAATGGTTGCCCCTCATATCCTTTTTAAAACTTCCTCCCCTCACCTTAAAAGTATGCCCCTTGGTTTTAAACTCTCACCCTAGGGAAAAGACCCTTGCTATTCACCTTACCCTAGGCTCAAGACTGTCTCATATCAGTGCAAGGCTGCTGTCTCCCTACTGACAACGCAGTTCAACAGAGATTCTTGATCCCAGAGAAAACTAATATTAGCCTGAAAATGCTGTATGTGGCATGGTGGCCCTGCTGTACAAAGGTAATGTGGGGCCTCATCAGCTAGTGTGTGAGGGCTTTGGCATCTCCTTTAAAATCAGTCAATCTTGCCGATTGTAATGTTTTTCTTCCCCCCCCCACCGTTCCCCTCCTACGAATTATGAACACCGATCACTCCCTTCCTCTTGGAGATCCTGGGCTGTGGCCTGTTATTGCTGGTTTTCATTGCTGTAGGGCAGGGAATAAAAGGAAAAATGATATTGAGATCCTGAATTTTATGTTCAAGGTCACACTTTCTAAATCCCTGAAAATATTTAGGCCTGTAGCAAAATTCCATTATTCTTCTAGATACAATAGTGTGTGGTTGATTTTGTACTTTTCTGCTTCTTTTGATTGGGTTACAGCTGTAAGTTATAGTATTATATTTACTTCGCAATGCAAAAATCGTTAAGTCCACATTGCTGTTTTCCTTCTGAGGTGACTTGCTCATGATCAACCGTACCACATTTTTAGGCTAAGCCATATTAGCCCAGAATTGTGGGGAGTAGAGAATTTTGTAGTTTGTACTGTGAATTTTCTATTCCTCTTAGTCTTCAGCTCCAATAACTCTGAACTGAAAATTTTACCTTCTCAGAACTGATAATAGTGATGAGGTCAACAAGGGCCTTCATGAATATAAGGTTCAATAGTCTATTCATAACCAATAAAATTAAAAGATTTTGAAGGTTAGTAAGACTCCGAAGTTGTGACATGAACATGTGATTTTAAACATAATGTACCAAAATATCATTACATTATATGCTAGAAGATGTATAGTTCCAACTTTGTTTGCCTGAGGTAAAGTACAAGGTATAAAGATTAGAAGAATCCCAAATCGTTTTTTGAGTTACAGACTTTTGCTCAGGGTTCAGATTAATTTAGTTCAAGAAATACAGGAACCAAAAGTGGCAGTTACATACACTGTTTGACTTTTTTTTGCTTGTTCGTGAGACATGGGTGCTACAGGCAGGGCTAATATATATTGACCATCCCAAATCACTTTGAAGCTGATGGTGAGCAACCACCTTGGATCTTGTTGTCCATGTAATTTAGGTACACCCACGGCGTCTGTTCAGAATTATTGAACTATAGCAGTTTGATACGACTGAGTAGCTTGCTAAGCCACATCGGAGGACAGTTAAGAATCAACCACACTGAAGAGGAGTTGGAATCACATGTATGCCCGGCAACATATGGGACATGATTTCCTTTTCCTAGCAGTAGTTAGTAAAATGGATGGGATTTTACAGCAAACACGATCATTACTGATTTAGGTATTTTCTAATCAACTTGTTAAGGGCTGTTATTACAAACCTCTGGAGCAGATGGGACTTGAACCTGGGCCTCCTGGTTCTGAGATAGGATCATTACCACTACACCATTAGAGTCGTCATCATTATTGATTTATTCTAGATTTATTAATTAGCCACAGCTGCCCTAAACCAATTCACAGCAGATCAAATTAGATAATTGGCATTTCTTTGCCAGAAGCATTTCATGAGCCAGTTATGATCCTATATAGTCTCCATTAGTGATGTTCGTGCCGAGAAAAGCTCTAAATTTTGTTTTTTTTTAAACTTGATTTCCATTCTATCAATTAATTGTCTTCCCTAATGCATTTGTTTTGTCGGAAGGCCATGTACAATCTGCCCATTTTAACTTGTCTGCTGGTTGGAGATATTTTTCCTCATCAACCTGTTCAGAGATGTTAAGACACATCATATAAAACATATAACCAGCATCCAGTGAAAAAGTGGCTGAGAGGTTAATGCACTGTTAGTCTATTGTACTTTGTAGGCATGGACTCAAATCCCACTCTCATTGCTGCTTCTGGAAATTTCTAACACTATTTTCTGCTCTTGGGGTGTTGTGATGCTGTGGTAGTGCTTCTACCTCTGAGCCAACAGAATCAGACATGTCACAACATGGCTGCACAGGTTGATTAAACTAAATAACTACAATCAGCAGGCAAGGTGTCCTGTGGTGTAGTTGTAGTGTTCCTATCTCAAGAGGCCTGGTTTCAATGTAGCACTTGGTTTCCAAATAGAAAGTATAAATAGGATCCTTATTCTGTGAAATGGTAGCCCTAACTGTATTGAGTTTAACTCATTACAGCACATCAAATGTGGCAACTTCTGGAAACCTTCCATATTTGAGACTTGCACATTTTGCAGCAACTTGTAGGATTTGCAACTCATGCCATATTTCATCTTCAACACAAATTTGTTTCTCTTAAATGTATTTTTGCACTGTGAACTTGTCATTTTTCTTGCAAGTTCTATAAAATGCCTGTTATAAAATTATTTGCTGCTTTTTCTCACAAATACTTAAAAATTTAACTGCCCCATAAACTATAATTATCATTAACTTAATTTTAAATGTATGTATAACTGCTCCTGATTATTTAATCTGATAGTATAATGCTCAGTAAGTGATCTTGGAACTGTAGGTCTACTCCAGGCACCTTTTACAATCAAAATATACCAGCAATTTGTATCCAGTATTCTGAAGGCAGCAGTCCCTGAATCAGTCCATGCGTAACCTTACAACTTTTATTTTAAAACTCAAATATACCATCCTGAGAGTTGGGAGCAAACATTCTGATTTTTGCATACTGGCTCTGTGATAATTAGCTGATTGGTGTTTTACCAAAATCTAATGTGGAATGATCCTTCTCAGATTTTGATAAAATTACAAAATCCCAGAAGGTAGCCTTCTTCCAGCCTTTCCTTCCTTCCTTGTGGTTTTAATAACTAAGTATATATTTTTAACAATATTTCAGAGTAATGGAACTTTGGATCGAAATCTGCTAATAGAAAAACAACTACTCGAACTACACCAGCAGAATCATCAGCTTCGATTAGAGAAAGCAGAAACTGAGCGCAGGCTCCAAATGGAAATCCAACAGCTAAAAGATCAGGTGTGTAAAACAACAATCATTAGTGGTGCTAACCAATTTCTTTTACGATGTACCTCAGGAATGTTGGTAATGTTCACATTGAAGCAGATGAAGCAAATCTTATGATTTAATTTAGTTGTCAGAGTACATGTGGGTCTGCTATAAGTTCCTTTATTTACAATACATAGAAAAATGATATGTTTCAGAAATCAGAAACACAAAATGTAGAACAAATTAGTCAGCAGTACATAAGGCCTGAATTAGACTACGAACAGAAGGGCATAAAGAAGTAAATTGTGGATACACAAAAGCTTTTTTCATGAATTTTGCATGCTTCAAGACTTGATCTCAGGCACAGAGTTCCATGCACTAAGTGTGAGGGCAGGTTATTTAGCCAAATCATGAACCTCAATTCTAAAATCCCATCTAATCAGCAGCCAGCATATTTGGGATTCGAGAGATGCTAGAAAGCAAAACTTAAACATTGATGAGGTAACTACTTTTCCTTGGGTCACATGTTCAGCCACCCATACCCTGCAGTAGTGTTCCTGATTGGCCCCAGATTAGGGCAGTGATGGCTCCTCCCAAGTAGGTCCCTCTGGTTGCCCAACTAGGAAACCAGCCACTTCTTGCCTACCAGGTAATCAGGCCAGCAGCAAGTTGAGGCATTTAATTGGTAGCTAATTAAACATTAAGATCCTTAATTGGTGATCAAGAAGATCACTTGTGGACTTTCTCACTTAGCACTTAACTACTGAGGTGGCTAAAAGTGGGCAAATATTTTTTGATATCAACTCACTTAATTATTTGCCTTTTTCTTCACCTCTGGGGTAGGGAGATTATCACACCTACTTTATAAGTAGTAGCCATCTACTTTGGAAAAAAATAGTCAAAGATACCAAAGGCTGTGTTGATCATGCAATAGGGCGTTAATGACAAACACCAAACAGATGTTTTCCTGTTTGTTATTTGTGATTGCACCAATTATTTTATTCCGTGTCGCCTCTATTGTCAGTGGTATTTCCAATATGTGAATACTTAAAACTGAAAGACTGCTTTGAATTTGTTTCTAATTTACTACTTTTGTAGAAAAATTGTTTCTAACTTTTTGAAAAACTGTTCATGTACATGCTTTAGATTGCAAGTCTAACAGAGGCCAATTGGCAAATGGCCGAAGAACTAAAGCAATACAAATGTTCCGGAGATATTGAGAACAAAATAAGTCAAATGGTGATTATGAAATATTTAATCATTTTGTGTTTCTATTATCTGTGTATATAAACATGCTGTGGACAAGCATATGCAGAATGAATAATGGTGATGCTGTTTGTGTTCATTGTTATAATGAGGGAAATCCGATGGCTACCTCTGGAGCATGCACATGTGCATTAAAACAAGGAAATCAAATAAGACCAAAAAAACTGTGAATGCTGGAAATCCTAAACTAAAACAGAAATTGCTGGAAAAATTCATGTTCTGGCAGCCTCTGTGGAGAGAAAGTAGAGTTACCAGTTTCGGGTTCAGTTACCCTTCTCCAGGAAATCAAAATGTTGCTGCCACAGATATCTTTTCCCCCCACAGGGTGCAAAGTTGTCTTTTCTCATAGATTCTCCTCCTGGAACTTTTGAAAAAAGGTAGGGCTGGAGTAGTACATTTTTAAAACTGTAATTATTAGCACTGAACAACTTCTAAGGTACAGAAAAATTAATTCTGCAAATGTGGGGTTACGTTACTCAAAAGGAAATTTGTATGAAAGATTTAATTTCCTTTTTTTCTCCCTGTCTCATTTAAGCCAATCTGTATATCCTAATCATTTTCACACTTGCCATATATGATTTAAATCTAACTTATTCCAACACATTTCTGTTTGGCCTCCTTACCTTTGATAAACTTGAGATCATCTAAATCTCTACTGCAGGTGCCCTCATTCCCATTAGTTCATAACCCCGCAATCTTAAATTCCTTATTCTTGTTTTTAAATCCCTAAAAGATCTGACTTGTCCCTTACCCTAATCCCAGGTAGCTCTGTAGGCCCTCAAGATATCAGCATTTCTGCAGTTCTGGTCTCGGGAGCACACCTGATTTTAAATGCTTCACCATTGCCAGTCATCCCTTTAAATGTCAAAGCTTTAATATCTAGAATTTCCTCTCTAAACCTTTCTGCTTTCTCCCTTTCCTTTTGAGACACTGTTTGACATGTATGACTTTGGTGAAGCTTTTGATCTACTTCATTATCTCCTGACATGGCTTATTGACTTCATATTGCTCCAATGAAGTACCTTGGGATATTTCACTATGTAAAGTTGCGATATAGTTGTAAGTTGATGGTCTGCACTCTGTTGATTTTAGCTAGGATTTCTTAATCAACTTGGTCTTTGCTGTTGCTTGCCCATCAAACTCATGGCACACATCCCTTCTACAGGCCGTTGATGTAGAAAAGACTGTACTCTGGAGAAAATCTCTGTTGACAAGTTTGTGTGCAATTGTCAACAGGGTAAGTGAAATGTGCAGTTCCTCTGCTGCTGAGAACAAAAATCAGGGCCAGTAGCTCATAATATTATCACCTAAGATTGTCCTCAAGCCAGTATTAGTGCAGTTTGTCATTGGAACACCACAATTTTGTTATCAATACTGCATCGTGCTGATGTGCCAAGAATTTTTATGTGAGGTCCCACATGTCTTAGTTTTAATATTGAACATGTAATAGGAATGAGCACTCACCATTCTTAAGGAGTAAAGCAGCAGCAATTCTCAGTGCGGGTGTACACACAGTTAAGCGTGAAAATCAGCAAATTGCTGTCTGAATTGCCCTGCTGCCTACAGGCTGTGTTACATTGGTTCCTTGCTGAGGATTTGCTATTCAAATACAAGAAGGGCTGAAGTTTCTCATCCCTTTTCTTCATGTCCAGTTTTCTTTCCCACACACAAGTAATCCAAGTGTCTCCACAATACTTTGGATAGATTTTCATCTTCACTATTGAGAATATAATTTGGAAGGTGGATCTGATTTGAGTTTCATTTTGGAATCAAGTGGATCCATAAATGACATGTAGTTTTCTCTAGCAGACTACCGTTGGTGATAAAAATTAACCACATTGTGTGATCTTAACTCTTTTTTTTTGGTTTTGAAAACTATCATACCTGTACCTCTTCATATTGCAAAGCAGGTGAATTTCATGACCTGGTAATTCACCTATTCCAAATTGATAGGCACTTAGATATGGCAAATCCTAAGACTAAACTCAAAGCTTTTGCTTCAAGTATGTTCAGTTTCATTAATCTTAATTGATGTTACCCACAATCGTGTGCTTTGCTAATGGACTTGGTTGATTCCAGAGTTGAGAGAGTTGGATTATGAGGAGAGACTGAGTAGACTGGGATTATACTCATTGGAATTCAGAAGAATGAGGGGAGATCTTATAGAAACATATAAGATTATGAAGGGAATAGATAAGGTGGAGGCAGGGAGGTTGTTTTCGCTAGCGGGTGAAACTAGGACTAGAGGGCATCGCATCAAAATAAAGGGAAGCAGATGTAGGACTGAGGTCAGGAGGAACTTCTTCACCCAAAGGGTTGTGAATCTGTGGAATTCCCTGCCCAGTGAAGCAGTTGAAGCTACCTCACTGAATGTTTTTAAGGCAAGGCTAGATAAATTTTTGAACGGTAAAGGAATTAAGGGTTATGGTGAGTGGGCGGGTAAGTGGAGCTGAGTCTCAAAAAGCCATGGTCTTACTAAATGGCGGGGCAGGCTCGAGGGGTCAGATCGCCTAGTTCTTATGTTCTAACCCTGAAATAGATTCTGAGTAAACACAATCCTACAATGTATGAGTTATCCATTCACAGAATGCTGCAGTCAGTTCTAATTTGACACAACTGTGGATTCAACAGCTCATCTTTCTTGTCTGTATTCTTTAATATCGCATGAGATAGTAACTGTTCTTGACAATTTTAAAAGAATTTCTAACACGCTATCTTATTTTAAACAAAGATCTTAAACCTTTATTCACAATTCTGTTTAGGTCATTTCTGCTGCTGCTTATATTCTTCCCTTATTAGTTATGAATCCTGAATTTTCTGATGTCATACATTTAATTTTAACCTTTTCCTAACTGGTTACTCAGCTTACTGTTGCACCTCTATTCCTCTTGAAATAGCTTCTCCAGCTTCAAATGTATAATTGTCCAGTTTCTCCAAAATGCACTTATGGGTTAATCAATAAGATTTGAAGATTTTTTTCAAAGATGGAAAGATTTGAGATTTTATTGTCACCTACAGGATTACAGTGAAAAGTATATAATGTCACCACATATGGCACCATCTTGCGTACCTCGGTACTTGGGTCCAAAATATGGTTAGGTCCAAAATCGTAAGAGAAACGAGAGATAATAAGTTAACCATTATTTTGTAAAATAATAGAAAAATGAAGAAATAAGTAATAGTTTACATTAAAGTTTTTCATAATTTAAACTAAGTAAAAAGTTAAAAGTTCAACTGTCTTTGAGTCCTCTGCTTATCTCAGTCTGCTGCCTGTTCTCACCACTGCTGCCGCAGATACCATCACTGCTGCTGAAACTGCCAATCTCCCCTCGTGCCTCGGGAACATGCCCAGGAAGGATCCACTCGCTCACCAAGCTGGCACACTGCCATGAGCCACCTAGAGAGCAGGCCGGAACTTACCATGCCGTCAAGAGTCTAGGCCAGTACCCGCCATGAGCCACTGGCAGACCAGGCTGAGACCTGCCGAGAGACGAAAGGGGAAAGAAAAGAACAAAAAAAGGAAACAGAAGGAGTTTAAGAGCTCCGGTTGGAGCGTCCTACTCCGCCACTATCTTGACCAGGATAACTAAATGTTGAATTTAACTTTGTTGCATTATTGGAATTGATTAGATCAAACATTGACACAAGAAAATAGCCAACATTTTGCAGCGCAAATTAGTCCAGGCACAAAGTGAGTTAGCTAATTTTGTCAATATCTCAATGCCTGAGTGAGTTGTCTCATTGGTCATTTTTAAGATGTTAATATATTTCTCTTCTCCTCTGCCCTTCCTTTTCTCCATGTTCCTAAGACACAAGTTATTCTCCAACCAGCAATAAGTTTGCTCGTTGGTCTTTGCAATTCTTATTTTGAGTAATATTTGGGATGCATGCCACGGAAATTTGACATTCAATCATGGTATAAGTCAGTCTTTTTTGATCAAGCAGTTTTACCTCCTATTTAAAATACACGATACCAGTCTAAGTTTGCAAGATAATATTAAATATGAAAAGTTGAATAATTTGTAGTAAACAGTTTTAGAATCTAGTAAATCCCTCCTAGATATTGTTTTGTGATATTTCATATTTCTTTACCTGTATACTTTGCTTTCAGGTTAAAATTAGTTTTTGGACAGGTGTGTATGGAAACACTAAATGATATACAGAATCCCCATATCATAATAATTATAAACTTTTTTGTGACAAAAGTCTAAATTCAGTTAAATACTTAAACTCATTTGTGCATTTATTATAACAAGAGAAGCTTACTGTTCTGCCCTATTACATTGATTTTGGACAGCAAAAGTAAGTTGTGCTAGAAGTAATTGTCATTTTATTCTTAGATTGAGCAGATGGAGATACAGCACAAGGAGCTCTTACAGATGCAGGTGGAGCTGCTTCGGAAGGAGTATAACAAGTTAAATCATCAAGCTATCGGTGGCTCTGATTCTGTTCAGGATTCTAATTCTATTCAGGACTCTAATGATGATTGCGCTGGTGGAACTGAGAGTACAACTGAACGGACATTCGTGGGCACCACGACTTTGTCCCCCAAGAGTCATAGTGTAACACTGACCTTACCCACCACTATAGTGTCTTCGGCACATGAAATCATGACCTCTGAGCATGGAATCATGTCAACATCGGAAGATGTAATTGCCGCATCTGAAATGGACCTCAGTTCTGGAAATGTCATATCCTTCATTGAGCCTAATGATAATTCATCAAATGGATCTGCAGGTTTAACAACACTTGAAATTGTGGAGGTCCATTTAGACAGCGAGTCAACCATTTCAAATATTGAGTCATCTTCCCCAACACATGTACATCTGTATCCTGTCACACAAATCACTGATAATGTTGAACTTTCTAATGGCAAACGGATTTCCGAAGAGGATCCTGAAGAAGGAAATCAATCAAAAATCCAGAGAATTGTTTGAAACGGGCTACTGCTAATACTATGTTATTGCATAGTGTCTAAATGTATGGCTTTATTTTTATTCAATACTTCGTCAGTGAATAATTTATTAATATTTAATTCAGAATTGTTCTTATCTTAGTATTTTTAAATTGATGTTAGAGAGAACTTATTTAACTTATGAACTTTGATCATTTCAGATTGCTTTGTGCCAAAGAGTACTGTACATTTTCCTAGTACAGTAGAGATAGTTAGGCAATATAATAAGTCCTTATTGCTTGACCTTTCAAAAAAAAACTTAACAGCAATGCAATAACCTACAATTATTGTTATAGTTCTTGACTGAAACAAATATTGGGAACTCAAAAATAAGCTGACTGCTGACCATGATCAATTTAAATAATGAAACATTCTGTAAACTGTTTGATTTCAAGGCCATCAACTGAATCTGTTTCTATTTTATGGAAGTTTTAGGAATTCATTAATAGTTATGACAAGAAAATGTAAATTTATATTTAATAACGTTAAATCTTTGGAAGGGCCACTGGCAATTTAATCATCAGGTAATGAAAGTCGACTATCAAGTAGGCTTACTATCTTGTGTGCATGATGGCATTTCCAGAGTCTTAATGACATCAGCATTAACAGATGAATTGTATTAAAGGAAATTGAATTCAAGACTACTGTCTCTTTATATAGCTGCAATAATGGAGTGATTTTAATCTCCCCTTTAAAGCATTTTGCCTTTCACACCCCTCAAAGTTACCAATCTAAATTACTCAGCAAAAATGTGATGGACCTGCCAGAATGATTAACAGCAAAACTCGTGCCACACTTGGTGCTGAACATTACGTTAACGCTAGGTGTGTTTGTGGCGAGCAGCATGTAAAACAGGGCAGGTAACCTTATTGGTAGTTTTCCTCCCAACCCCAGAGCTCAAACTCAATATGGAAAGTGAGCGGGCACCTAACTTGGTAACCCAACCACCATATGTAAAGCAAGTACAAATCAATTGAGCTTGTCATTTGCAGAGAGAAAATCACTTTGCTTTTCGCATTCAGTCCGAATATATTGTGAGTTGAATGCTTACAAGGTGCCTCAGATGCCTTTTGGTGTTTGTGTAATCTCTGCAGACGTTAAGCTGTTTTGAATTAAATGACCAAGTGACTTGGGCAATTTCGGTTCTGTTTTTATTTAATTGAGGCTAAATTGCTAACTTGAAATCATTCGGTATGTCCAAGTTGGTGATGTTTGAATCCAAAATAATTAGTGTACATTAAATTATTTTTAATAAATTCCTTTTAAATAATTTCAAGCCTTAGATTGCTACAGATACTTATTTTATAGCCTCTTCAAATTGCATTTCACTCTTTCATGACGTGCGCATTGTTTCAGTTTTGTTATGGTTCAGCCATGAAAAATATATTTTTTGGTTTCCTTCCATTGCCTTTAGTTTAATGGGTAAAGATGTTTCCAATGGATATTGTTGAATTGATATTTTTAATTAAGTTACAATTTCATATCATAAAAGACATTAAAATATGTATTCTACAATAGCAGCCTTGTATATAATTTTTTTGATTGAGCTAGTGATAGACAACTTTTGCACTGAGCAAAAACAAATAATTTCCTTTATATTTTGTTCCAAAATCAAATGATCAGATGTATTCTTTAAATAAACCTGAAATGAAGCGTGTATATTTTTGCATTGTTAAACAGCAGTAAGTCTAAAATTGAGGTAATTCACCTTTTATTTAAATTTCTTCTTGTGAGCAAGTTAGGGATTAATATCAGATGGCACCTCGTATTTTCATTCTTCCAAGTTCATTTATTCTTCAGACTTGAACAAACTATATTTTCAAACTTGAATTTCTAAATGAAGATGTTTTGCTATGTCGCACTGTACAAATGTAAGTTCTAGTGAACTAAATAACTGTACATTAGTAAATTGTACATTAAATATTTTCAGTTCTGTTTCTTGCACTTATTTTATCAGAATAAAATAGATCTGCAAAAGACTGGTTCAAAGTGCTGAAGGTATGAAATTGAGGGGCTGGTATAATGTACTTGATCCATGCTGTATTGCATCTCAGATGTTAGTCTTCAGCCAATTTGAATCACTCTGAATGATATCAAGAAACATGAGTACATTTGGTGCAGCAGTGATGAATCCTGAAGATCATGCTCCAGAAATAGTTGCAACTTTAGACATGCTATTCCACAACAGCTGTGAAGCTGGCATCAGTCTGATCACAAAGTTGCCCAGATATGTCCTATTGACAAAATAATGAACCAACTATCACTTTTATCCTGCTCATTTCATCAATGATGTCAAGTAGTACATATTCAGCAATATCCTGGTATCTTTTTATTTAGTCATACAGCCAGAAAACACATCCTTTGGTCTAACTCATTTATGTCAACCAAGTTTCCCAAATAATACTAGCCCCACTTTTCCTGTATTTGGTCCATATTCCTCTAATCCTTTCCTAGTCATGTACCTGTCCAAATGTAACTTAAATGCTGTAATTGTACCCACATCTACCGCTTTCTCTGGCAGTTTATTCCACATGTGAACCACCCTCTGTGGCAAAAGTTGTCCTTCCGGTCCTTTATAAATCTTTCTCCTCACCTTAAAAAATGCCCCCGAGTTTTGAACTCCCGCCATCTAAGAAAAAAGATGTTTGCTATTAACATTATCTATGCCCTCATGATTCTATAAACCTCGATAAGGTCACCTCCAACCTCCTACGCTCCAGTGGAAAAAAAAAAGTCCCAGCCTATCCTCGTAACTCAAACATTCCAGTCCCAGCAACATGCTGGTAAATCTTTTTCAAACCCTTTCCAATTTAATAATATACTTCCTATAGCAGGGTGACCAGAACTGTATACAGTCCTCCAAAAGTGGCCTAACCAACATCCTGTACAATCTCAACATGATATCCGAATTCCTATACTGAATGGTCTAAGAAATGAAGGCAAGCTTGTGAAACGTCTTCGTAACCAGCCTGACTTCCTGTGATGCAACCTTCAAAGAACTATTTACCTGAACCCTTAGGTCTCTCTGTTCTACAACACTACCCAGGGCTTTACCATTAATGATATAAGTCTTGCTCTCGTTTGTTTTACCAAAACTCAATACCTTGCATTTATCCAAATTAAACTTCATCTGCCACTCAGCCCATTGACCCAATTGATCAAGAACTCTTTGTAATCTTAGATAACCACCTTCAGAGTTGACTATGCTACCAATTTTGGAGTCATCTGCAAACTTACAAACCATGCCTCCTAAATTCTAACCCAAAGCATTTATATAAATGACAAACCAAAAGTGGACCCAGCACTGATCCATGTGGAACATGGTCGCATGCCTCCAGTCTGAAAAACAACCCTCTACCACCACTGTCCATCTTCTATTGTCAAGCCAATTTTGTATCCAATTGGCCAGCTGGCTCTGAATCCCATGTGATTTAACTTTACTGTCTTCTGTTAGCCCTTGTAAAATCAAATCACTGAGGACCAGCAATTAAACACTAGTGGCTGGACTCCTAACTAATGTAAGTGAAGATATTTGTAGTATTGGAAAATAATTAAGTCTGATCCAGAGCATTGTTTCAGAGATTCCTAAAAACATCATTTTTGATCCAATTATCTTCAGTTGTTTCATTAATGAATCTCCCTTTCTGTGTCATTCTTGGATCAAAATCCTAAAATTCCATACCTAACAGCACTGTGGGAGTACCTTCATCACATACATTGCAATAGTTCGATAAGGAGGATCTCGAGGATAAATAAATATTGGTATATGTTGTAGTTTTGCCAGCATTGCCCAGATCTCAGATTTGAACTTTAAATAAACAGTGATTTATATTCAATTTAAGAATTCTGGTGGCTCAAGCCTGCCTGTACCACACCCATATTCCCACCCCCATCCGCTGCCTCACATTGTTTTCATTCACAAATACCTGCAGACTAGTGCAGGATCTAAGTTGGCTAATTGTACACCACTCAACCTCAAGCTGCAATGAGGAACCAGCTCACTGACTTGGATCCAGTCTCATGAAAGGCGCGATATAAATGTTAGTCTATTTCTTTATATTGAACATCATATTGGATGTTCCAGAACACACACCCATGAGCAGTGCAATCGAAAAATGGCCAGGACACACAACAAAAACAGAAATCACTGTGGAGTTCAGCAGGTCTGGCAGCATATTTGGGGAGAAAGTAAAGTTAATGTTTTAAAACTGGTGCAGTTCAGCAGATGAACTGCAGTTCTGATTGGAGTCACTGGACTCAAAACATTAACTTTGCTTTCCCCCCCACCGTTGCGGCCAGACCTGCAATTTTTGCTTTAATTTCAGATCTCCAGTATCCACAGTTTTAGCCAGTATATATAACTTTTATATGTTCAATTCTCAAAATACACTTACATGTATGGGGTTCCTTCAACAAGATCTGCATCATGTTGCTACAGTTACAGTTACTAAAGCCATTATGGTTTAGTCTAGAGCCACATATTGTAATGGCTTTTAGCAGATGCTGAACAAATTGTTTAAATTCTCTGAACCCCAACAAATGCTGTAACAGCAAAAAACGTGTGAAGCATTGCAACAAAAATCTGCATGCTTTAGGAAAAATGTTCAACTATTACAGCATTTTCTCATTCATACCTCTGCTCTCACAGAGGGAAAAAAGAATATTGGACAATATGATGTTGAGAGAGGAGACATGCACCTCTTGGCAATATGTGCAGTAAGCATGCAATTTCTATTGTGTAATTGCTATTGGCCACTACAAAGTGGCTTCGTTAGAATTTTGGTAACATTTACATTGCAGTCAAAAAACATCTTCCACTGCTTGGTCATAACAGAGTATTGGATGCATATTATTATGAGGCCACTCTTGGAATACTGCATGCAATTCTAGTCGCCCTTCTGTAGGAAAGATGGTGTTGAACTTCAGCGGGTGCAGAAAAGATGTTGCCAGGACTATAGGGATTGAGCTATATGGAAAGGCTGAATAGGCTGGGGCTAGTCATAGACTGAGGTGTGACCTTACAGAGGTTGCTAAAATAATGTAGGGTGTGAATATGATGGGGAGTCCAAAACTAGAGGACATAGGTTTAAGGTGAGAGGGAAAAAGTTTAAAAAGGACCTGAGGTGAAACTTTTCCAGATAGAGGGTGGTGCGTGTATGGAACAAGCTGCCAGAGGAAGTGGTGGAGGTGGGTACAATCACAACATTTAAAAGTCATCTAGATGAGTCTACGAATAGCAAGAGTTTAGAGGGATAAGGGCCAAATGCTGGCAAATGGGACTAAGTCAGATTGGGATGTCTGTATGACTCTATGACAATATGCTCTGAGCAAATTTATGATTGTTGATACTGTACCTTTCCTATTTTGAATGAAGTGTTGGTTCATTTTTCATGTCTGGAGTCTTAAATCACTCCAGCCAGTTTGGAATTACAGTTTCTCTGACTGCTAGGTAGTAGTATGAAGACAGCGTTATGATTCTACCTGAATAACTGAACAAGTCAGATCCCAGACTGAAATCTGATCTGACCTCTAATAGCCCCTTCCTTGAATCTTCATAAACAACCTAGACTTTCTGAGTTTCAAAATATCCCTTTGGGTTTTAATCACACGTTTCTGGTCTGGAACTTTCAAACTAAATGACTTACTCTGAGGTAACTTATTTCTTAACAGCTCAAAACTATCTCCCTTCTTCAGGGGAAACCTTTTTTTTGCATTCAGCTTCAACTAGGACTTCTGCAAACTGAAATTAAAAGGGCTTTCCAAGTCATGGGTATTTCCTTCAAGTCAAAAAAAGCATTCCACATCTTCCAAATGAAGCCTCATGCACTATACTCTTTACATTATTCACACATAAAAGCTCTCCCAATGTAAACAAATTCTGATTAGCCTCCAAGAATGAGCTTCTTTTTAAAAAATAAATCATGGCTACAGAAGTACTGACAAGTTAAACATCAAACCTCCCTCTTAGACATAAAATAAAACCCACATGCCACTAGCTTTAAATAAAAAATATGAAAGAAATTATATTTAAAAATATAAGTCATTCATTTTGCATTATAATAGCCAAAATCCCAGTAACACAAATCAAAATATTTACATCCGCTCAGTTGGTAGAATTCTCCTCTGAAACAGGAACTCCAGGATACAAGCATAAAGATAATGACTCAGACTCTAGTGTGGAACTGAGGGAAAGCTGTTGAAGTTGTTGTCTCATGTTAAATGTGTTCCCCATCTATAAAAGGTTCCCTGGCACAGTTGCAAAGAAAGAGTTATATTTATCCCTCAATTAATTTTTGTCAAGGTTTTTCCCTCCTAATTTCTGCCATACATATTAACTATTGCTGGTGTAGTTTAAAAATCTACACTTGTCATTTTGCTTACCCACCCTTTGTGCTCAAGCTTGAATGTTGAGAATTGGCAGACAAGTTGATTGAGTTGAGTTTATTTCTGTTCTCATTTGACCTCGTTGTATAAACATTTGATACTTTTCAGCACAAGATATTTCATTATAGCTAACATAGAAACATAAAAGATAGGAGCAAGAGTAGTTCACTTGACCCCTTGAATTTTCTACACTGTTCAATGTGATCATGGCTGATCATCAATCTCAATACCTTAATCTTACCATTCCCCCATATTCCTTTAGCTCCAACAGCTATATCTACCTCCCTCTTGAAAACTCAGAATATTTTGGCTTCAACCACTTTCTGTTATAGTGAATTCTCATCACTCTCTGGACAAACAAATTTCTTATCTCAGTCCTAAAATGTTTACCTCTTACCTTTAAACTATGACCTGGTTCTGGACTACTTGGAAGCATTCTTTCTGCATCTGACCTGTTTAGTCCTATTAGGATTTTATATGTTTCTAAGCAATCCTCCCTCATTCTTCTAAACTCCAGTGAATACAATCCTAACCAACTCAGTCTCTTCTCATATGTCAATCTTGCCATCCAAGGAAAGTGCAGAACACTTACGCT